GATTGGGAAAACACAGGTGCAAGGAATGACTAATTAAAGGGAACACAGTACACCTGGGGAGGGAAAACAAAACACAAAGAGTCCAGGGGCGTGACACTCGTCACTCAGCAATTGTATCTGCAATATTATGCAGTATAGACTGACCATTTTGTAATGAAAAGAAATATCAGTGGGCAAGTCAAGTGATCCCTGTAATCCAAGCCATGTATTACTCCCCACAGCCTCAATCCACAAATTAATTCTGACTCATTGTTTTCTTATTCTCATCAACTCAGTTTCAAAAGTTAGAATTCCATTTAATTCCCAATTCTAGAGCATTAATATCCCTTGACATGCTATGAATTCAAATAACAATCCTAAAATAAAAAAGAAAGAAAAAAACAAACACACACACACACACACACACACACACAAGGAATTAACCCCATACCTGGCAAACACACAGAGGGAAAAAGGCAAACACTTCTATGACTATTATGGTGTTGGTCTATCAAGCAGAAGTAAAGGCAAACAAAAGCATAAAGCACAGGGTTGTCTCTTTCATCCTCTCCTCTCCTGAATACACAACCACATTACCATTCTTTCATTTCAACACATGAAGTGAGCACTGAGCTATTGCTTTTTGAATGGATAATCTCCTGATGCATATTAAAAGTAATTAGAAAAGAAGTAAATTTAAGCTAAGGAAACCATTTAATTCAAGTTTCAACTAAAAATTAAAAAATTTAGACGATGATTGTCATGCAGTAAGGGCATAGAGCTATAACAATGTATCAGCTCAGATCATTTGGCCTTGGCTGAATTTGATTTGAGCTCATGACGAAATATTTGGCTTTTGACTGCAAAGGCTGGTGTTTGACAAATCTAAGCACAGCCTAAGACATTTTAAGAGTCCATATAAACCTTTAGATGAAGAGATCCATGTGAAGAAGGAGATTTAAATCTCCATTTACACAAATAAGATACTGAAGAGATTTTATTTGTTATCTTTCTTTCCTCTTAAAGCTTTCCAAGTCAATAGCTAGAAAAGAAAACCCAGTAAAAGGGAAGGTGAATATATTTCACAGAAAGTTTTGGGAGCAAAATCTCTCTCCAAATGAAGACTATGGCTCAGTAGCATAAATCAGAGTGCATAATCTCATTAAAAAGATTTTTATGATAACTCAGTTTAGACCAACTATGCAGAGACTTGAGAGGCTCTCTGGGGAAACTCGTTTACATTTTCATTTTCGCTCTAAAACAGGAAACTTGTTCTTTTTCTAAAAGGTCAGTTTCTAAAAGTTTTTTTTTTTTAGTTGTGCTGAGAAGCCCCCCTGCGTAGACACAGTATCATGTCACTGTATAATTCACCATTTAGATTCAACATATCAATACTGCTAATTTTCGAAAGGACAACACACACTTTTAAGGGAATAGATTCCCCCTAAATTAAAGTTATTACCATTTATGTAATTCCATGTAATTCTTACCCGATTATATTTTCTTTCTTACATAATATTAGCAACTGCACCAAATTGCAGATTTTTGCTCAGTTTGGGCCTCTGAGTTTTTTTTTTTTTACTACAAGAGTATGAGCTCCACATAACATACTATATAAGCCATAAAAGCATGATGCATCATTTTGTTTGAAGGTTCGATCAACTGTTCAATTCCCAACAAGTATGATTTTTCATACTATTATTTTATGTATCAGGCTGGATAAAAAACCATGACACATGAGGGTGAGACGCATGATTTGTGTGCTCTATTACTTCTATATATTACTACTGCTATATGTCTTTTTAAGTCATACAATAGCTTTGTATGAAGAAACTTAAGATACATTAAGCTATCACATGAACAGAACATAGTACAAAACACTTAGAATATAGTACACACATCATGTCTTGGGCCTCTGAGTTTTTTTTTTTTTACTACAAGAGTATGAGCTCCACATAACATACTATATAAGCCATAAAAGCATGATGCATCATTTTGTTTGAAGGTTCGATCAACTGTTCAATTCCGAACAAGTATGATTTTTCATACTATTATTTTATGTATCAGGCTGGATAAAAAACCATGACACATGAGGGTGAGACGCATGATTTGTGTGCTCTATTACTTCTATATATTACTACTGCTATATGTCTTTTTAAGTCATACAATAGCTATCACATGAACAGAACATAGTACAAAACACTTAGAATATAGTACACACATCATGTTGATCACTTTTATAGTGCTTTTTGTCTGTTTTGGAGCTGGGCTGTATAAAACATCATATACTTTTGTTGTATAAGAGAGCAGCTCAATAAGAACGCATGTAAATTAATTAAATTAAATTAGCATTTATTCCAAAACATGATGGTATATGCTTACTCATTAAAACAGAGGTCAGGCTTGTTAATTATCCAACAATGATGAAAAACTGACTGTATCTAGAAAGACGTGAGTCTCATTAGCTTTGCAACCACAGAAATCTTACAGAGCATTTCTCAGAGGGGGTGTTTATGACCGTTAAAAACCACAAACTAGGGATGCACCGATACCACTTTTTCCAGTACTCGCCCGATACGATACTTTTATTTTTATTACTTACCGATACCGATATTTTTATTGCATTTGTACATTTTTAAAATATTGGGTACAGAAACCAAAAGAGTATGCATAATGTTAGTTGGTTAACTTCGTTTATCAAATAGGTACAGTCAAACCAAAATGTATTCAGACACCTTCAACATTTCTCACATTATCACAGGTTATTCGCTATAGTTTAGAAAATTGTAATAAAATATGACAAGAACTCAGAGTTAAACTGTGTCAGAACAAATTCAGCTTGATAATGTTAGATAACTGGTTTTACTGGTAGTCCACTGTATGAAGAATTTTGGGGTATAATTTGTCACAGTTTACTTTATTTTGCTATCCTCACCTACATAAATGAACTATAGTGTCCTGCACCCACTAGTAAAAAATATACAAAAATTATGGTCTCTGAATAATTTTTGGTTTGACCATTAAAATGTATTTTACAAGTTTTGCTCTATGGTACATCAACTTTAATTTAATAGCATTAGAGCTGCTCCATTGCAGCGGCTTAGTACTGTAATCACGCACTTTGCTATAATAATGCAGGGAATCACTCGTTATAAATCTCCTAACTGTGATATTTTCAGAAATATAAGTCGCGTTTTTTTCCTCTGAAACGTGCTGCGATTTATATTCCAAAGCCACTCATATGATGCAGAAACACTCAAGCCAGCGAAACATGCGCAATGCATGCACGTATTTGTACTGGTGCAGAATGAGAGGGACAAGTAGCACAGCCTAGCGAAAGTCGTGTATGCCTAAAGTTTAAAATAAATTACGTTTATAGTGAATGCCCCAATAAATGGTCTTAATTTTTCGATTTCGTTTAAATCCAAATGATGCCTGTGCTAAATGAGTAACATCAAAGATCACATAACAGAAGTGCCTGCTCTCTCTCTCTCGCTCTCTTTACCGTTAAGTAACTTGTGCATTGTTTTACTTACTTGTTTTTGACATATCCGACCGAACTACGAACTTTCCAGTGATGTCTGTGAGAAAGGTATATTCACTCGACAAGCTCGCGCATCTGCGCCGCCACGCGCTCAATTCACTCAGCATGCTTTGCTTATCAACTCGGTCACATCAGCTATACAGGCGTTAATACTGAATGTTTAACATTATATTCATTGCATACATATACTCCGTAGACATCCTTAATCTCTAGTAACTCCATTCTGCTGTCTGTTGTTCTGTTGTCAGTGTTTCTTTGTCTGGATATTGCTCTTATCACATGCTGTGTGGTATCTGCATTTGGTATTGTGGGCATTTTAACGAGTACGAGTACAAGAGCTCAATATCGGGCCCGATACCGATACCAGTGCATCCCTACCACAAACACATTCTAATAGGACAGACAGAGCAAGAGAGAGAGTCAGCATCCAGCATGCTAGTAAAATTATGCCTTATAAATATTTGCACTCTCCCTCTCACAGCTTGGATTTAAATTTTTTATGGCAGAGGTGTGCTAGAATGGACCTGATCGCCAATTGCTGGTATGCACTCTACATTATTCACTAGCCCCTCTTATAGCTGACTTCATTTATGTTGACAAAGTACTTGAAGGGAGATTTTTGTCTTCCAGTACTTCCCAGATTTCCTGTGTTTCTGTCCACCGCACTCTCCAAGAGACAGACGCTGACAGAGCCCTTCCATTTCATCACTGAATCATTCATAAAGCATTGGTGGCGGCCAAGAACCAAACCCTACTATAATCACAAACACATGTACAAGGATATATTGCCTGCTCATAATCTATGATATATGGACCTGTCGTTTTTGTCCCTTACTTGACCCTTGACTGCACGCGAATGCGTATTAAACTGAAATCAGTCTATCAAATTTGATGACAGCAGTCAGTGCTCAGTCAGTTGCAGTTCTGTTTAAAGGGACAGTTCACTCAAAAATTAAATCCGGCCATAATTCACTCACCCTCAAGTCATTCCAAACCAGTATGACTTTCCTTCTTATCTTCCATTGTGTTCTACATAAGAAAGACATATTTTGAAAAATGTCCATACACTAGAAGCCAAAATGGTTCCATGTTCTGGCCTTCATTACATGGATCAAAACTATTTTTTTTTAAATATCGGTATGATTTTCATTTGTATGTGGAACACATAAGAAGATACTTTGAAAAATATCTCAGTTGTGTTTTTTTGTTCATATAGTCAAAATGTTCCCATGTTGTTTTGGACCCTACTAAATTTCATTATATGGACCAAAAAAGCCTCCTTATAATATAGATAGAAGAAAGAAAGAGGTTTGTAACAACATGAGACTGAGGTTGAACTATCCCTTTAAGCACAGAATTAGTATATATGTTATACACAGCACTGATGTTATTTTCCTGTCAGCAGTGTGCATGCACTGCCCTTCCCAGATATCCTCCCTGTGGCAATGATGTCAGAGGCTGAGAGGACGGGTCTTACCTCTGCCATGGGCACTCCCTCCGGGGGACGGCAATGCAGCACAATCATGCCTTTAATTGGCACTTCGTTCCCTTGAGGATCCTGCTCGAAGTTCTTGCGGAGGTCTGTTTGAAAAGATAAGAGGCAGCTGTCACAGCGGGCAGAGTCCGAGCCGATATTTGGCCTATCTATGCCAATCGCTTTCATTACTCCATATCCTGCTCTCTCCATGCCCCCTGCCCTTCGTTTTGGCAACCTTGGAAAGGCAGGGCAAGAGAGCAGGAGAGTGCAGGCATTCTCAACGGTGCTCCAGCCATCTGCTAGAGTTGCAGGTGTCATGGTTTCAGTTCATTTGGACAGTTCTGCCTCATCCCCACTGTGCCTGTACAGAAATGGATTCTTTTTTTTCTTCTGCGCACTGAACATTTTTTCAATTTAAAGAAAGAAAGAAATACAAAATGTCTAAAAATCTTCCAGCTTCAGGTAGGATAAAATCAATGTTCCCTGCATTAAAGTGGAATAAAAAAAGTTGTTATTTGATAACAAATACTAATGATAAAATAATAAAACTTAATAATAACTTGATAATGATAATGAATGATAATTATAATAATAGCAAATGCTAATTAAAAATCAAGCTGTTAAACTATAAAATGTTTTTTTTTTTTTTTTGGCAATAATATTATTAATTCAAACTTTTAATATACTTTCAGATTTAAAGCATTTAGTGCACTGTTTAAGGAAAGAAAAGGAAAAGAATTAAGAAAAGGAAATACATAAAACAGATTTCTCACAGCAGTCCACCTGTGTTTATATCATGTATTTCAATCGTAGGTCATGTCTCATACATTTCAATTTTAGTTTTTTTCTAAACCATTTTTAGAAATGTTGAAAGAGAAAGAAAAGTTCAGATAATTTTAAAAAGTTCAAGTAAAAAAATAGGTATTTTTGAAGCCCATGACCCCAAATATGATGATGAATGAATTTCCAAAAGCAGTCTTTACAAAAACTGTATTGATAATACAGTATTTTCATTTTGGTTTGACAGCCTTAAAAATACATTTTGTATTTTTTTCCCACTTGCAGACTACTGGGGGTCCCTTGAGCTAGCATACTCACAGGCTATCCTCACTGTGGCCTTACGGCTCTTCGAGGTTCCTAGGTGACTCCAGGCCACACACAGGCACCAGTAGTCTTCTGGACCATGGAAATCCTCCACCTGCTGCCTGGTTACATTGATCGTCACTTCACGGATTTTCAGCCCTATATAGCAAGAAACACAAAGCACGAACATCTGAATTCACTTCAGGTCAATGCCCATTAAGTATTGACTTTCAGTGTTTGGTCACTTCAGTCAGGGTCCTTAATGGCAATTGACTGTAAGAATATACACTGGGTGTCAGAAGGATGAAAGGGTACCAGAGCTCAGTCAATTCTGAGACTGAAGTTTAAAAATATCTTACGCATTGTTACAAAAAAAAAAATCTCCACGACCAGTGAAAAATTTAATGGCCTCGGGTTGCGTTTCCCTTCACGAGCTGCCCTACATAACTCCAGTTTCATGTCTCTCTGCTCCAAGTTTTTGAGTGCATTACTGATAAAAACCTTTTTTTCTCTCCCTCTCCCAGGAGGTCCTTCCTTGTTGTCTGTGCCACAGATCGTTAGCAAGATGAAAATAGCTAGCTGAAGTTGCATTAGCCTAAAAGCATAAGAGCCAGGAACACTTGTTACCCCTGAGGCTTTATTTAAGACAAATATCTTCAGATGAGATGGTCACAACCTTAACCTTTCAAACTCTCAAATCTACGATCATTAAAACTGTAGAGATGTAGATTTTCAAAATGTCTGACTTCCCTGCTGTGAGCCTAAGTCACTTTTTGCAGGTTTGTTGCATCAGTAAAGCCTTCCACTGTTAATCAGTTTCATCTTCTGTTTCTTTAGAATCTCTACCTTACAAACTTAAAAAAAAAAAAAAACGTCATACAAATATGAGGATTAGAAGCAATATGCAATATGTTGAGAACCATAATAAACGATTCAGATTGTTTGCTCCTCCACTTGAACATTCTCTCAAACATATACTCTGTAATCTGGATTGCTCATGTATCGTGAGTCTCCTAACAACAGTGCCAGGAACCATATCTGAACGCTTTTACCAGATAAATATCAAATAAACCTGAAAGTGCCTGGTAACTATACAGGGATTATTATTGCGGCTCCGAGGTAAAACGACGGCATGCATTTTATGTAAACAGATCAGTTCTAGAAGGCTCAGCTCATTTTGAAACTATTTTTTTTCTTGTGAGATTAGGATGAGCCCCATTGTGGTGGGATAAACAGAAGAACTGATTCTGACACTGTATTCTGAATTTTGCTCTGGAAGATGGCTGCAAAGCCCAAACAAACATGATAGTTCTTGTTTGAAAGTGTTCCGTTTCATATCCTCTTACTCATAAACATAAACTATATTATATAGTTCTCCATAAAATCTACAATACTGTTTGAAAGTTTCGGGAAGGTATGATTTTGTTGTTGCTGTTGTAAAATAAATTAATATTTGTATTCAGAGAGTATTAAAAACACTAAATTGATGTTTAAATTGTTACAAAAGATTTCAATGTAAAACAAATACTTCTTATATTCTCAAAGTATCTTGGAGAAAAAATGTATCACTGTTTAAAAAAAAAAAAATTAAGCAGCTGTTTTCAAAATTGATAATAAAAGTTAGAATCAACACATTTGAGTGTTTTCTGAAGGATCATGTGACACTGAAGACTGAGTAATGACTGCTGAAAATTCAGCTTTGTCATTAAAGAAATAGAGTATGTTTTTAAATAAATTAAAAAATATTTTTTATAATTGTAATAATATTTCAAAATATTACTGTTTTTACTGCATTTTGATAAAGAAATGTAGCCTTAGTGAGCATAAGAGACTTAAAAAAACAAAGTATGTATGTATGTATATATATATATATATATATATATAT